CCCCCCCCCCCCGGCCCCTGCCGGCGGGGGGGGGGGGGGGGGGGCTGGGGGGGCAGGGGCCCGGCCGGCCCCTGGCTGCACCCCACCGCCACCGTCTGCACAGGGACCTCAGCAGCGGTGACTCTGGCAGCGACTTCGAGGACGTGCTGCGGCTGCACCGCAAGCGGAGACCCCGCCGGGCACAGAGCCGCGGCCCCGTACGTCCTGCCCTCCCCTTCTGGCCGTGTCCCCTGCCCCGGGGCTGCTCCAAACCTCCACCGTGTCCCCTTCCGCCAGGTCTCGAAGCGTCCCCGGAGGAGGGAGCCCAGTGGGGACGGGAGCAGTTTGGCCGTGAGCAACCCGGAGCAAAACACCCTCTTTGAGGCCGTCAGGTCGGCCAAGATCGCCGTCGAGGTAACCCACAGGTTACACGCAGCAGCCCAGGGAGCCCCAGCCGGCTTGCGCACGGGATGAAGGGACACGGGGGGCCACATGCGCCTTGAGCAGGGGACTCGGGTGTCCCCAGCCAGCAGCTGTTTGATGCCGGCTGTCCTGTGCCTGCAGACGGTGGTGGATGACTGGCTGGAGACCTATAAGCAGGACCGTGAGACAGGGTTCCTGGAGCTCGTGAACTTTATCATCCGCTCCTGTGGCTGCAGAGGTGGGGAGGGGGTCCCTACCAGGTGCTCTGTCCCCTCTGTGCTGCTGATGGGGCCCGCACCCCAGGCTGGGGACCCCCATTTCACCCTTGGGTCCCCCGGCAGGCGTGGTGACCCTGAAGATGTTCAGGCACCTGCAGAACTCGGAGATCATCCAGCAGCTGACGGAGAAGTTTGAGGAGGTGCTGGGCGGGCACGGGGGTGCTGGCAGCAGGGCCGGTGGGCAGCCCTGCTCACCCCTGTCTCCCACAGGATTCGGCTGAGTACCCGCTCTCTCTGGGCACCCAGCCCTGGCGCCGCTTCCGAGCCGCCTTCTGCGAGCTGGTGGCAGCAGTGGTGCGGCAGTGCCAGTACAGTGTTGTCTACGATGAGTTCCTGATGGACGCCCTCATCTCCCTGCTCACCGGCCTCTCCGACTCCCAGGTGCGGGCTTTCCGCCACACCAGCACCCTGGCAGGTAGGCAGCTGCCCAGGGGGGGCTCCCCACGGGCTCCCCACAGGCTCCCCACAGGGTTCCCTGCTCCCACTGTGCTGCCCTCCCAGCCATGAAGCTGATGACGGCGCTGGTGAACGTGGCGCTGGGTGTGAGCCTTCACCAGGAGAACAACCAGCGGCAGTATGAGGCTGAGCGGAGCAAGGGGCCTGGGCGCCAGGCCACCGACAAGCTGGAGGCACTGCTGGAGAAGCGCCGGGAGGTGAGCATCGGCAGCAGGGCGCTGGGCAGCGACAGTGGGGGGCCGGGCCCCGTCTGAGCCCCGATGCGTCCCCCCAGCTCCAGGAGCAGCAGGAGGAGATTGAGAACATGATGAACGCCATCTTCAAGGGCATCTTCGTGCACCGCTACAGGTCGGGGCTGGCCCACCAGCTCGGGAGCGGACGGGGGTCTCATGACTGGGGAGAAGGGGCATGGACCGTGGTGTGGCCGGGCTGGGAGGGCAGGTGGGAGCTGTGTGGGGATGGGTATGTGGCACCACCGGGGACCGTGGCGTGAGCCTGGGCGGTGCCACGCATGGCAGAGACGTGGTGCCCGAGATCCGGGCCATCTGCATGGAAGAGCTGGGGACGTGGATGAAGAGCTACACAGCTTCCTTCCTCACCGATGGCTACCTCAAGTACATCGGCTGGACCCTGCATGACAAGGTGGGGCCAGGGTTGGGGGGCTGGGGGCCATGGGGCCCGGCCAGGGGTCCTGCTGACAGCCCCTGTCCCTGCAGCAGCGGGAGGTGCGCCTGCAGTGCGTGAAGGCGCTGCAGGGGCTGTACTGCCACCGGGACACGGCCGCCCACATGGAGCTCTTCACCAGCCGCTTCAAGGTGAGCAGGGGCCCACGGGGGTCCCCCGGGTCCCTGCAGGGTGTCACCGACCGCATCCCCCTCGCCAGACCCGCATGGTGTCCATGGTGCTCGACAAGGAACCGGACGTGGCTGTGGAGGTGGTGAAGCTGCTGACGCTGATGCTGGAGTGAGTGCGGGGCCGGGGCTGAGGGAGGACATGGGGGCACAGGGTCCTCCAGTGAGAGCAGGGACAGACGATGGGGCTGGAGGGCACCCGGGGGACAGGGTGCAGGTGCTGCATATGCAGGGCCCTGGGGACATGGCCCCACAGCAAGAACAGGGACAGGGGCACAGGGCTGGGGAACAGGAGGAGCGGGCACCCCCACCATTCCGCATGCGCAGGAACACGGAGGAGGTGCTGACAGAGGAGGACTGCCAGAGCGTCTACCCCGTGGTCTACGTATCCAGCCGGGCGCTGGCCTCTGCTGCCGGGCTTTTCCTCTACCGCAGGTGAATGAGGGCCAGTGCCGGGCACAGCCCGTCCCATGCCAGGGACTGGCCCCCAGCCCACCCCTGCCCGGCACCAGAGCTGCCGGCATCCGGCTGCAGCCCACACAAAAAGCCGAGCATTTTCTGCCTGCCAAACCCTGAGTCAGGCTCAATTTCCTCCCCGCTCCGCCGTGGGGAGCATCTGGCAGGCGGCCGGCGGAGGCCAGCCGAAAGGCTACCTTCGTCCCAGGCTCGTTGGTGCCGTCCTTAATGGGAAAGGGGCCTGAGGCAGCTGTATCCGGCCCCGGGGTCGCTGCAGGGCAAGCGCGAGCCCAGCACGCGCTGGGTCAGCTGCCCGGCGCCCCAGCCGCGCGTCCTGCTCGCACGCTCGTGCTCTTGCGCCAGCCTTGGCGCGCTCGGCGGAGAGGAGGCCGGCGGCGCCGTGTTTATCTCGGCGCAGGCCTTGGCGGCTCTTGGCAGTGGCGGTGTCCGGGCTTGTCACGGCCCCGTTCCCCCGCACATCTGGGGCGGCGGCAGCTGCGCGCGGCGGCGGCCCGGGTCCTCCCTGTCCCCGGGGGATCAGGGTTCGGGTGCCACCCCAGGGCGGGGGCCGGGGAGACCCCCGTGTCTGTGTCCCCTGGGGCTCTGGCCCCAGAGCAGGGGGTACCTGGGTCCCCCATCTCTGTCCCTTGGGTTTCTGGTCCCTGCATGTCCCCCGGCTCTGTCCCCAGAGCAGGGGCTAAGTGGGACCCCCATGTCTCTGTCCCTTGGGGCACTCTCCCCTGTACGTCCTGCTCAGGTAGTTGGCATCCCTGTGTCCCCCCCCGGGGCTCTGCCCCCCCCCACACCCAGCGTGGGCACACAGGACCCCTGTGTGACCCTGCGCGCACATCCCCAGGCTGCTGGACCCCCAGCGAGGGGCGGGCAGGGAGCCATCTCGTGATGGGGACAACAGGACCTTCTTCCGGCTGCTTCTGGCCTTCTTCATCGAGAGCGAGGTGAGAGCGGCTGCAGGGTGCCTGGGAGGGCGGGGGGGTACCCTGCGCACTGTGATGGTCCCCTGTCCCCAGCTCCACGAGCATGCAGCCTACTTGGTGGATAGCCTGTGGGACTGCGCTGGGCCCCGCCTGAGGGACTGGGAGACCATCAGCACTTTGCTGCTGGAGGAGTCACCCACCAAGGGTATGGCACTACCATGCTGGGACATCACAGAGGAGTCACTGGGATATGCTGGGATGTCAGTGGGAGACACTGGGATATGCTGGGGTGTCGCTGGGACCAAGTAGGCTACACTGGAACACCCTAGGACACCCTTGAGGTATACAGAGATGTTGCTGGGGCACACTGGGAGATGCTGGGATGCACTAGGATATACTGGGACATCACTGGGAGACACGGGCTTTGCTGTGGGACATCCCTGGGAGATGCTGGGATGTGATGGGGAGGCGCTGGGGCATCGCTGGAACATACGGGGACATGCTGGCACGTTACTGGGTTGTACTGTGACATTGCTGGGGCACTGGTGGGTGGTCAGGGGACATACTGAGATTTGTTGGGGTGCCCTGGGACCTCCTGGCACATCAAAGGGGGTGCCGGGCCGCACCCCGGCCCCCTCATTCCCCCCACCAGGCCTGGCAGACCGGCAGGAGAAGGCACTGGTGGAGATCCTGGCAGCCAGCGTGGTCCAGGCGGCTGAGGGGCAGCCCCCAGTGGGCCGCAGCCTGGCCAAGAAGGTAACGGGGCTGGGGAGGGGGCTGGGGCCCCCTGGGCCGCCCTGAGCCCCCTCTCTGCCCCCAGCCCTCAGCCCGGGAGCGCAAGGCACAGGCGGAGGAGAGAACCCGGCTCACCCACTGCCTCATCCCAGCCCTGCCCCAGCTGCTGGCCAAGGTGAGGGGGACAGGGCTCCCCACCACCCCTGAGGACCTTGGGGGGTCGGCACTGACCCTCCTCCCCCACTACCCCTCCCCAGTTCTCAGCTGATGCTGAGAAGGCGGCTCCGCTCCTGGAGGTGCTGCGCTGCTTCGACCTCAGCATATACTGCACTGGGCGGCTGGAGAAGGTGCTGCTCCCTTGCCCCTCAGGCAGGATCCGGCCCCCTGGGGCTGGGGCAGAGCGAGTCTGCCCCTGGGAAATGGGGCTGCAGGGATGGGATGCCGATGGGTCCCCCAGGTGTCCCCTTCAGGATGCTCTGTGTCCCCATCCCCATTGGGAGGCCGTGTGCCTGTGCCCCCCATCAAGGGGCTGTCTCTGTCCCCCTTGGGGGCCCACAGCTGTCCTCATCCTCTCGGGGGCGGGGGGGGCCGTACCTCCCTGAAGGAGGCTGCAAGTCCCCTTGTCCCGATGGGAGGGTCCCTGACCCTCATCCCTGGGGAGGCGGCGTGTCCCTGTCCTTCCCACAGCCCCCTCTCCCCGCAGCACCTGGAGCTGGTGCTGGGGCAGCTGCAGGAGGTAGTGGAGAAGCACACGGGGCAGGCAGTGCTGGAGGCTGCGTGCCGCGCGCTCCACGCGCTCTGCGACCCTGAGCTCACCCTGCACGGCCGCGGGGACCTGGTGCGCAGCCGCCTTGCCGACCAGCTGGCCGACAAGTTCCACCAGGAGGTCACCGAGCTGCTTCAGGTAGAGGGGATGGGAGAGGGACCCTGAGTCTGGGACAGGGCTGGGGACCACTGGGGTCACGACAGGGACCTGAAGATCAGGACATGGACCTGAAGCCTGGGATGTTGCTCAGGCTACTCCAGGACAGGGACTCAGACTCCAGGATAGGGCTAGGGACAGGGACCCGGAGGCAGGACAGGGCCAGGGACAGGAGAGGGACCAGGACCTGTAGGGACAGCGGCGGCGTGGGCAGGGATGGGGCATCAGCGGGGAAGAGCCGGTCTGGGAGGTGCTGGTTGGGGAGCTGGCAAGGGACCATGGGGAGCAGGGTGTCCCCAGCCTGGCGTGGGTCCCTAACTCCGCGTGGAGCATCCCTAACCCTGTGTGGGGTGTCCCCAACCCCGGGCCCTGCCCAGGCCTCGTCCCTGGACGAGGAGGAAGTGTACAGCATGGCGGCCACACTGAAGAGGATCTCCATCCTGTTCAAGTGAGTGGGGAACCGTGGGGGCCACACCACTGCTCCGCCTGTGTCCCCAGGGGTCCCCCAGTGTCCTCGTCCCCCTCCACGTGCCTTCCCTGTGCCCTCTCCTGTGGCATCCTGTCCCACTGCCCTGTGTGTCCCTGGCACCCTCCCTCCTGCCCCATGTGCTCTCCATGTCCCTGTGCAGTGGCATCCCGCGTCCTGTCCCTGGCCCTCTGTGTCCCCTGCTCCATCTGTTCCCCGTGCCTATGTCCCCCAGCATCCTGCCTCCTGCCCCACATCTCCCCTCGCCCTGCTGATGCCACTCTGTCCCTGCAGCGCCCACGACCTGACGCCCTGGCAGCTCTTCGAGCCCTGCACCCAGCTCCTGCAGCGTGCCTTGGACACGGGCGAGGTGCCCCCGCAGGTACTGCCCTGGGGATGCAGCGGGGACGTGGCGGGGCTCCTCAGCACCGCGGCCATCCCTTGCCCGCATCTGCCCCTGCAGGTCCTTGTCCCTGCCATCACCTGCCTCCACTTCCACATCCTCTGGGAGCTCTCACGGCTGCCTAGCACTGATGTGCCCCAGGTGAGTGGATGGCATGGCGACAGCTGCAAGGACAACTTGGGGCGGCCCCTGTGTCCCTAAAGGTGACCGCATCCCCCTGCCCAGGAGCAGCTGCAGAGCCTGAAGACCAGAGTTACCTCCTTCTGCTCGCTGTGCCAGAGCTGCCTGTCCGATGTGGACGCTGGCGTTCGGGAGCAGGTACGCAGGCGCTGGGGGGGATGTGGAGGGGGTGTCGGGCCTGGCGCTGAGCCTGTCCTTGTGTCCTCAGGCCTTCATGGTGCTCAGCGACCTGCTGCTGGTGTTCGGGCCCCAGCTGCCGCGGGATGGGCGGGAGGCGCTGGCCCCCCTGGTGCTGCTGCCTGACGCGGGGCTGCAGTCCCAGCTGGCCGCCTTCCTCATGGACCACGTCTTCCACCATGCCTGCAGCCACGAGGAGCTCTCGGCTATGGGTAAGTCCCCTCCGTGCATCCCAGAGGCGTCCCCTGGGATGCCTGTCCCCCCCACTGTCCCCTCCCGTCTCCGCAGAGGACAGCGAGAACCACATCGAGGAGCTGCACCAGCGCCGGGTGCTCCTGGCCGGCTTCTGCAAACTCATCATCTATGACGTGCTGGAGCTCAGCGCTGCCTCCGATGTCTTCAAGCACTACGCCAAGGTAGGGGGCACGCAGGAGGCCTGTCCTGCTGGCCCCGCAACGGCTTGGGGACATCAGGCCCTGTCGCCTCCTCCTCAGTTTTACAGCGACTACGGGGACATCATCAAAGAGACACTGAACTGCACCCGGCAGATCGACCGGCAGCAGTGGGCTCGCACCCTGCTGCTCAGCTTGCAGCAGGTACAGCATTGGCTGGGGGCCTCTGGGGATCCTCGGGGTTGCCCAGGAGGCTCTGAGGGTCTCTGGGGAATCCAGCGGGTCTCCAGGGGAGTCTAGGGGTCTTTGGACTGCTCTAGGGAGGTCTGCAAGGCTCCAAGAGATGTGGACAGGGTTTGGGGGGGCGTCTCTGGAGTGGTCCAGGGGTCCGTGAGCCTCTGGGAGTGAGTCTGGGAGACTCTAGGAGGGTGGGTGGCATCCAGGAAGCTCCTGGGGGGATGCACCCAGGTGCATCTGGGTGTCTCCAAGGGGTCCTGCACTGACCTTCTGTCCCCCCCCGAGCAGCTGATGACGGAGCTGTTGCTGCAGCAGGGCCCTGAAATCCGGGCGGCCGAGGCTTTCCTGGAGATCCGGGATCTGGCACGGCGCTTCTCCCTCCTCTTCAGCCTCCAGCAGCTCCGCAACCGCCCGGCACTCCTCAGCATGCACAAGTGCGAGGGGCTGGGGGGCCTGGGGGGCCGGGGGGCCAGGCCGGGGCTCAGCCTCCTGCCTCATCCTTCTGCCCTGGCCAGGGAGGGGATCCAGTTCGCCTTCCAGGAGCCCCCGGGCCCGGGGCCGGGACTGCCACCCCTCAACCTGCCCTTCCTTGAGGTGCTGAGTGAGTTCTCACCGCGGCTGCTGCGCCCCGACAAGGCCCTGCTGTGAGTGGGGGGGGGGGGGGTGCGGGATCCCCGGACGCTGGTGGGGTCCCATTTGGGTCCTGAGGGGCCATGGGGGGTCCTCAAGGTCTATTTGGGGTCCTTGGGGCTGATGTGGGGTCTGCAGGGGCCATGTGGCATCCCCCAACATCACGTGGGATCCCCCAGCACCCCACAGGTCCCTGGTGCCATGTCACCCACCATGTCCCCTGTCCCCCCACAGCCTGGCCTACCTGGAGAAGATTTACCAGGAGCAGCGGTGGCTGGCACCACAGGACGTGCCATGGCCGTCCCTTGTCACCTACCGCAACTCCCTGCAGCCACAGGAGGAGAGGGGCTCAGTGAACAGCCACAGCACAGCCCCCCGCCCCCCACCCGGCTCCGCTGCCAAGAGACCCCGCATAGATGGTGAGGTGGGGGCTGAGCCCAGGGGGGACCCTGCACGCTGGGGGCCATGCCACCCCCAGCACCCCGACTGGGCTGTGCAGGGCTGGGGGGGGCTTGCCCTGCTCCGTCCCTCGCTGTGGGGACCCTGGCCAGAGGCTGGGACCAGTTTGAGGCTCCCCAGTACAGAGCGAGGGGCACTGTGGGGCAGGAAACTGAGAGATGGCGGGGGGGGGGGGGGGGGGGGGGCTGTGGGGGGGGCGCCCCCCCGCCG